ACGGATTTCACTTACTGTGAGGCATGAGATGCTTAAGAAAAGAGTTGTCTGTTGTAGTTGAGGCTGCAAGTAGACTGGGCAACTTAATGCTGCTTGCCAATAAGCGAAGCTGCTGGTTGGAGAAGGCTGCTGCAGTCTCTAGAATTGTGGAGGAACCTTCTGCTCTCGAAACTGCTGAACGCAAAGCCTAAGCTGCTGCTGGTGCATATCGACTTTATGATGAGATGGTAGCCCCTCGTTTCCGGGACTTGGAAATCCAGAAAGAAAACCAGGAACACTGTGACCCTCAGTAACTCTTGGAGTTATCTTAGCCTCAGAATAGAGAGCTGTAGGGAAATTTTTCCCTTGGCCTCACATTGGGGCTCTATCTCCTGTCTTTTGCTAGCCGCGTGCTTGTCCCAACCGACCTATATAGAAGACAAGACTCTTTACCTTTAGGAAGCGCCATTTAGAGCCATCGAGCTGCATCGATATCGTCAATTCCAGTAATAGTTCCCATATATCTGACTGTTAGCAAAAGGAGACAAAACAAGAGATTCACTTCAAAACGATTTACCTTCTTTCCGGCGAATCCTCAGTCTCAAATCTCATTTTGAAGCGCATACCAATAAAAATTTTCATCTTGAAAGATTTCACGTACTTCTGGTATGGAACAACAAATTCAGCTGGACTAGCCCTGAAGAGAAACAAATTCACCACTTTGCCGTGTTAAATCCAAAGAATGTCAAACGAGGATTGTAGAACACGGTGAACATGGTCTTAGTGGACACAGCATGAGCAGCAGCAGCCAGGACTCTGATTTGCATACTGTGGCTAGACAGTAGCGAAGACGAAGTGAAACTGCTCTACGTGCGCACAGCACACCCAATACCGATTCTCAACTCACCATGATCTCCCCTACGTGCTACGTAATATTATTACGGTATGAAAAACAGATCAAAAGTCTTGAAAATTTTATAATGACCAACAGTATCGGCTTCTTCTGGCTTACAAACACACTCCACCCTGTCGTCGAAAGATGCCTTCGTGGTTGTCCTGGATAAGAGCAGAATTTTGTAAGAAAGTATAGGTGGGACTTCCATTCAAAATCTTTTGCTGTAATCTCCTTTGCTGGAGGGGTTTGCTGATAATCCTGAAATCGAGTTTAACAAATATATTGAGTGACATATATCAGGATATATGAGCCTCGGTTTAGAGAAGCTCCTCGGTTTACTGCTCAGAGTCCGGAACACTACAAACGGATATGACAAAGTACGTTTCATTCAACGCTATGCAAGAAGCTCCAACGGAAATGGCGGAAGAAGAAATGCCCGACTATGACGACGGACAAACAGTCTTTATCGATGGTAGTCGAGACACCGGTTGCTCCATCTTACATCTTTCGGACTGGATCGTTTGATTGGTTACGGGCGCTTAATTTTAGCCAGCCAGCCGAGAAGCACATAGATGTGGGCGCTCTGCTGCCAAGTATGCAAGACAGCATGGTAGCTGAGAAAACGTCCACAGGGAAAAGAACTCGTTCAGACAATTATGAGGAGCAGGACCACTCTCCAAAAAGACAGGAGATTGCTAGTCCTGGAGAGGTTTAGCTGAGGAGTTAGAAAGGAAAGAAGAAGATGCTCGACAAGAAGAAGCAAGGATGAAGTTTGCGGTTTGTATTGGCTCAGATTTTTTCTTTTTCGTTGTGAAACTTTTAAATGGTTTTTGTAGGCCTACTGTGAGATTGTAGTAATACCTATTGTATTACAATTGGTATATTACTCTGAAAATTGGTGCACACAATAAAAAATTAGATTTAATAGTAAAACATGAAAAATTTGGTCCCTGATAACAAAAAGTTAACTCTATCACAATTTCAAATGGTTTTACCTTTTAGTGACAACATAAATTGTAAATAATGTCCTATTGTCTAGATGCTCCAGTTTCAAAAGGAGAGCATTGTTTGTTATTTGGTTAGTGCATTTGTTCAGATTCTGAGCACAGCATTTTACAGTTGACACCATTTGCACGGATACACCAACTATCACCTCTAGAGCCTTTGTCATAATGTTAATTATTCTAGTAGTCTTAACTCATCCTTGTCTTCCCTCACTTCAACTCCACTGAGACTGGGGCCTATGCTTTCTTTTTATTTTCACTCTTGCAAGTTCACTCAAAGATTGTTCCAGAGTGAATTTTACTTCACTCTTTTTTATCCAAAATAAAATGCTACTCTTTTTTATTGCACAAAGAAAAATTAAACCCGGTTCTTCAGGTCGCTGTCCCAACATGCTTCTCTACGTGTAATCTCTTCGCGTTTCGGAATGCCCGGCATGCCACAACGTACACCAGGACGAGCACTGCCACAACTACGATGTTGACGATCGCCGCTGTCTTCCAGTCCCCTCGGATGTCCTGCTCCACCACGCCCGCCTTGCAAGAATCGCAATCGAAGCACAGGCGCGTAGGATCGTTGCTCCACCTCGCGCAGTCGGGATTACTAGCGCTGCTCCTCCCGCGGGATGGCGGATCCCAGGACGTCGCATTGCGGAAGACGAGATCACATTCTAGAGGGGGCTTACAGCAGCCAGACTGATTTGGAGGAAAGAAAGATTTTAGAGGTAACATTTCGATCGCAAGGACCAGGGAAAGAGAGAGCATGTACCTCCACAGGAGACAGCCGCGCGGCATCGAAGCTCTGGATTGTTGGGTACGCCATCGCCAGATCCCGGCAAATGTCCAGATCCTTTAAGCATCCCTCGATCTTCTTCCATCGCTTCGCGCCACCGACTTGTTTCCTGAACCAGGGGGAGTAATCGCCGAGACTGTACTCCCGGAATCCCTTGCCGGGGAGGGCGCGGCCATGGCGCGTGCCACTGCTCACGGCCATGGTGAAGATGGTGTCGGCGAGCAGCAGTAGGATGAGAATGGAGAGAAGGAAGAGATAGATCCAGAGCAGCCATGGGACCTTGAAGCAGCCGCCAATGGATCCGGCGATGGAGAGGAGGAGGAGAAGGATCCCGATGGCGAGCACCAACCACTGGACGGATTGGACGCAGTGGCTATTGGCGGAGGCGAGGAGCCAAATCCCAGTGGCGATCACTGGGAGGGAGAGCAAGAGCGTGAAAACACTGATGATCGCAGTAATGTAATTGCTACTAGCACCCATTCCCTCCTTATCTTTTAACTAAAGGAACAACCCCCTTTAGGGTTTCAAGATAATGGTGTTCGAAACCCTAAATAGGTTAGAATCTAAAATAATCTAAAAATGGCCACGTGTTGGGCAAAGCAAAAAGGAAATATCTTTTCTTGAAACCCTAAAGAGGGTTAGTTAAATCTTAAACCCTAAACCCTGAATGGTATATGCTTTTGGCCAAGACATGCCAGAGGTGGAGGGCGATCGCCATTCCGGCAGCGGCGCCGCCATCGCCACCATCGCCACCGTCATCGCCACGCACGGTGAGTATAAACGACTACGCATCGCTGCTATGGCAATGCCGCGGCTTGGACGAGGTGAGGAAGCTCCACGCCCAAATCGCGGCCCGGAAGCTGGATCGCAACACCTTCCTGGGGAATGTCCTTGTCGATGCTTACAGCAAGCACGGCAGCCTCCATGGCGCGCAGCTCGCCTTCGGCCGCATCACCCTCCACAACGCCCACTCGTGGAACATCCTCATGGCCGCGTATGCCCAGAACGGGCATCCGCGCGGCGCCGCCACGCTCTTCCACTGGATGTGCTCGCAGGGCGTCCGGCCCAACGCAGTGACGCTCAGCACCGCGCTGCTCGCCTGCACCGCCGCCAGGAACCTCGCGCTGGGGCGGAAGCTCAACGAGCTGATCGCGAGCGAGGCGCTGGAGATCGACTCCCACGTCGAGAGCAGCCTCATCACCATGTACGGCCGGTGCCGCGAGATCGAGGAGGCCGAGCGGGCGTTTGATCGCAGCCCAGAGAAGGATGTGGTCTGCTGGACCGCGATGATCTCCGCCTATGCCCACAACTGGAGGACGTCGCGGGCGCTCGAGCTCGTCCGGAGGATGGATCTGGAAGGCATCAAGCTCGGCTTGCCGACGTACGTGAGCCTCCTGGACGCCTGTGCCAGCACCATGGATCTCCGCAACGGCGTGGCCTTCCACCAGAGAGCCGCTGCTATCGGACTGGACCGCTCGAGCACCGTCGTCGCTGGCACGCTCGTCAACCTGTATGGGAAGTGCGGCCGTGTGGACGACGCCCGGAGAGTTCTCGACGCCATGCCGGTGAGGACGAGCGTCTCCTGGACTGCCATGATCGCCGCCTATGCCCAGAACGGGAACGCTGCCGAGGCCATCAACCTGTTCCAGTGCATGGACCTCGAGGGGGCGGAGCCGTCCGACATAACTCTCATCTCGGTTGTCGACTCGTGCGCTGTGCTCGGGACCCTGTCTCTCGGGAAGAGAATCCACGCTCGTATCCGGAGCTCACCGTCGTTCTCCCAGAGCTTGATGCTGCTCAACGCTGTCATCACCATGTATGGCAAGTGCGGCAACTTGGAGCTCGCCCGAGAGGTGTTTGAGTGTGTGCCGCTGAGGACGAGGAGCGTCGTTACCTGGACCGCAATGATAAGAGCCTACGCGCAGAATGGTGTCGGCGAGGAGGCGATAGAGCTCTTCCAGGAGATGCTCATCGACGGTGGCACCGAGCCGAATAGAGTGACTTTCCTCAGCGTTCTTTGTGCTTGCAGCCACCTCGGTCAGCTCGAGCAGGCCTGGGAGCACTTCTGTTCCATGGGACCGGACTTTGGAGTGCCACCCGCGGGCGACCACTACTGCTGCCTGGTCGATCTTCTGGGTCGAGCTGGCCGGCTTGGCGAGGCCGAGAAGTTGCTGCTGCGGCATAAGGACTTTGAGGCGGACGTTGTCTGCTGGATTGCGTTCCTGAGTGCCTGCCAGATGAATGGAGATCTGGAGCGGAGCCAGAGGGCTGCCAAGAGAGTGTCTGAGTTGGAGCCGGAGAATGTTGCTGGCCGCGTTCTGCTGTCAAATGTGTACGCTGCCAAAGGTAGGAGAGCTGACGTTGCTCGGATCCGGAACGAGATGAAGTCCTCTGGCGTTAAGAAGTTCGCAGGCCGGAGCTGGATCGAGATCAACAATAGAGTTCACGAGTTCATGGTGAGCGACGTCAGCCACCCTCGAAAGTTGGAAATATATAGCGAGCTTGAGAGGCTGCACCGAGAGATAAAGGAGGCCGGATACGTCCCGGACACGAAGATGGTGCTGCGGGACGTGGACGAGGAGAAGAAGGTCCAGTTACTGGGTTACCACTCGGAAAGGCTTGCAATGGCTCTTGGCATCATCAGCACCCCTCCCGGAACTACTCTCAGAGTTGTCAAGAACTTGCGCGTGTGCTCGGATTGTCATGCTGCAACCAAGTTCATTTCCCAAATTGTAGGAAGACAGATTATTGTGAGGGATACCAGCCGGTTTCACCACTTCAAGGACGGCGTGTGTTCGTGTGGAGATTATTGGTAGTAGCTCGTAGACACTTTCACGCGGTGGAACTCCTTGACAGCAGCCCAGGGTTCTGATTCCTTTCTGTACCAGCAACACAGAAACGAAATTGAATTCAACTAGCTATTAAATGCTCAAATCGAAGATAGTACTTACAAGTCACGAGCCAGAAAATTTAGTTGAGCGCGCTGAGAAGGTCCAGAACGCTGCATGCCGCTTGCTGGAACTTCTCCTTCTCCTCCTCGAGCCGTGCCTTCTTGGCCACGGCGAAATCTCTTGCGTGCTGGAACTCCTCCGTCACTTCCACGTAGGTTGTATTTATGTTCCTGGGACGACCAGTCAAAAGTTTTTTTGTTTGCGCGGCGCCCACACAAGAAGCTGTCAGTAGCCTATAAGTAGAAGAAAAAGCTTAAACGGTCTTACGCTATGGCAGGAAGAAGCTCCTCCATGACTGTTTGCGTCTGTTGGATCACACCTGATTAAACACAGATGGATAGATCGGAGATCAAGTAAGAAAGAAAAAATCGCATGAATTCGAGGAGCGCTTACTGGTAACAAGACCGGACAGCTTCTCCGCAACTGGATCCGGATCGTCCTCAGCCGACACCGCATCGTTGGCCAGATCGGCATCCTCCTCAACGGCAGCGGCAGCTCCAGGCCGAGCTCCCGCCGCGGACACGGAATCGGGCGCCGCGCCTCCTCCGCCCTGCTGCCCTACATTCTCCATCGCCATAATATTTCTAGGGCGGATCACGAGCCCCAAATTTTAAACACCTTTCCCGCCCATTTCATGTTTTAGGGCTTTTGGATTTAGGGACGAATCGAATCGATAGAATTCAATGGATCGCGTCAGCGTGCTTTTGGGGAATGGTTTCCTCTCTTTCTGGATTGATTGATTCCTCGCAATGGCGATGATGTGCATGTACCTCAAGCTTCCCTCCACGCCGTGCGCGTTTTCCCCTCTTTGTTTGTATATTGCGGCACTTGCAGCGCTTTTAATTCGTTTGTTGCCTTCTTTCTTTCCTTCGGCACCACCATACGAGGTACTGCTACTGCTCTATTCTTTCTTCCTATCTTCCACTTTCCTTTCTTTTCTCCTCCTTTCCTTGTGTGTGCTTTTGTTTGTTTGTTTCTTATTACTTGTCAAACAATCAATGTTTGTGGGTGTGTGGGTGTGTAAGAAGATTGGAATGAGAGAGTGCTGTTAAGATTTGTTTCTTTCTTCCACTCCTTTCTTCCTTGTCAAACAATATCTGTCGCAAGCTAGCTCAGAACAAGTGTTAAAGATTATTCTCATTTTTTTTTGGAAAGCATGATCATCGAATATCGAGTCGTCTAGCAAATCCCTGCAGAAGAGCCGATCTTGTTGCTCATCTTCTAACAATTCTAGTAAAGGTAAGTCATTGCATTTTGATCTAAGCCCGGAGAAAATACTAAAGAACCTTGGTGGTGGTGGTGGTGGTGACTTAGTTGATCGTCAGCCGCGGCAAGAACCTCGCTACTATCATCGTGATCGTCATTGTTAGTAGCAGCAACAGTGGCAGCCACTTTCTTGAGATTAAACTCCCGACTGGAGCTCGTCACCAGCTCGATCAAATCCAGCTCTTGCTGCTGCTGTTGCTGCTGCTGGTGCCGGTTGATCGAATCGTGCTCGCTGCTCCAAAACGATTGCTCGTCATGACCGACGTGTTGCTGCTGCTGCTGCTGTTGCTGCGAGAGGTAACTAGAAAATTGATCATCGTTGTCCAGGTGAAGCATGCTGGGATGATAAGTCTCTTGCTCCTCCATGGCTGCTGGATTAGCCGTGCCGTGATCTCCCAAAACGCTGCTAACGTTGCTAAGATCCGCCAGGCCCTGAACTGTACAGCGCTGGCACTTGCATGGAGTTAACGCTGGCGGGCAGCAGCAATCGACGTCGTCCACTACTACGTGATGAGGTTCCACGAACAAAACATCTGCCGCTCGTCGCCCGCTGCTACCGCTGCCACTGTTAATCTGGTTAAGATGGTTACTGACGTAGAAGTTGCCAGTGTTTGTAGACGCTGGAGTGGGCCATGGAAGCTGCTGGAGATCAAACTGGTGCTGCTGTTGTGATCCTCCGTTTGATCCTCCTCCGCAACCACCACCGCCGCCATCGCCTGCGCTGCCGCTCAAGGTGAATCCTCCTCCTTCACTCCACACTGTGACTTGAGGATTATAGTTTCCTGGCAGAGCTCTGGCCTCTCCCCACGACGACTGCAACGCGTTGCCCGTGATCAAGCTCCCAAAGCTGGCGGCGGTGGAATAGTCCTGGAAGTCCGACGCGGCGGCGGCGGCGGCGGCAGCGGCGGAGATGATGTCCGCGATACCAGTGCTGGTACTAGCGGCGGCCGCGGCAGCATCGCTCTCCATCATCCTCTGGAGTAGCTGGTCCACTTCGGTGGTGCTCATGCTCATGCTCGTTGGCGGCGGCAAAGCGCTAGCACTGGCTGCTGCTTTGGAGGATCTGTTGGAGCGGTGATTCAGGGATCCTGAGCCGCCGCCGCCACTGCCAGGGGACTGGTGGTGGTGGTGGTGGTGGTGGCGGGATCTTTTGGCGGAGCTGCCGCCGCCGGTGGGCTGGCAGTTTATTCTCTGTTGATAGTCGCGGAGAACTGTGGAGCGCGGCACCACCTCGAGCGTGTCGGAGCCATCGGCGGGCTTTCTGTGCTTGCGACGGAGGTCTTTTCTTCTC